GCCGAGTTATAGTTGTTCAAAGTCGTTCAGGGAATTCTGACTCACCCTGTAGAGGAAGTGCATTGGATAATCTGCTGCCTGAGATCCCACAAGAAATGAAGCTGACACTACCAATAGGTCAGAGCGGTGGTACCATGAAATGATGAGTCCATATTACCCCAAATCGGGATGGTCGTATTCCCCCCTTTTGGCTTGCAGGTCAAAATTGATAACACTTGTCTGCAAACTGCAAGTGAAGGGGCTCGCACTTTCCACAAGCATTCTGGAGGGACCATAAAATAACTTTGAACAAATGGTTTCTATATCCATGCTGCTATTAGGAAATATACGCTTAAGTTGCTCAAGGCTCATATTAGTTTCAGGGTCGAGTTGAAGAATCGCATGCATATGACTTCATAAACATCGATGTATCCTGTATTCCCGTGAGAACTGGATTAATGGACAGGTATAAACATTTCGACAATTGCATGTACTCTTCGATAGAAATATTTTTAAAATTCACCAAAACCAATTATTCATTCTTTTAGGGGATTCATTGTGAAGGGCTATATTACCCCAAGTTACCGTGTGGTTGCTTCTTGTTCTACAGCTATGAAGTGGATTTGGAAAGGACTGATTAAGTGGCTTCCATTAACCTTTGTCAGAAGGATTTAAATCTCCTGCATAAGCGCTGACAGGCAGATGTTTTCTACGAAGCTTGTAAACACTTGCTAACTGAGCAATTATTCACTTAATATCAGAGCATTTTCCCAAAAAGTTGCGGTACAGCATTTGTACCTTTAGGCAATGGAAAAATGCATTCTGTGGCACAGCAGTTGTGGCATTCGTCCAATAAAGGATAATCGTCTAATAAACAAAAGTTGGAACTTCTTAATTCACATGAAAGGTCTTGAGATGCTGCATTGCTGTGGGTCTGAACTTGTTTAAAGAACTCACCAACTGCCGCACATTTTGTTCAGTCTATTTGAGCACTGGTTAAAGATTGTTAAATTTTATGAAGTTGAGCAGAGCACAATCATCCACACAATTCAGCAATTTAATGAAATGTGTGGAGATACTTTCCTATCATAGCCCAATGTAAGAAGATTGATAAAAGCTTTCGAAGATGGCAGAAAACATGTCAAAGATAACCCACACAGTGGGTGGTCACATGGGATAAAATTTGTGACCCTGAGGACTGCATTGTTGTAACAATGCATTCCTCAGCTGATTGAATCAATACATTGAAGACAGGCATCTATCAGTTGAGGAAATAGCAGAATGTTGCATCATTTTTTCTTTGGGATCTGCTCATGCAATCCTGACTTACAAGCTCCACATGAAAAAAGTTTCATCATGATGGGTTCCAAGGCAGTTCATGGTAGACCAAATGGCTGTGCGAGTAGATGTTTGACAACAGTTGTGCATTGTGTTTACCAAGTAGGTGAGGCAATTCTGGCTACGATCATGATGATGATGAAATCTGAGTACCCAAATAGCACAAGTATATCCAAAAGATATTCCTAGAGATACATCTTTGGGAAAAGTGAGAAGTCCCAGAGACAACTACTAGGGACATCTTAGGGATATCAAAATATCTGCTCATAAAGACATCCCAAGGATGTCCCTTTCTTGCAGGACAAGCATATCCAAAACCTCCCTGGAGGATGACTGATATTTCAGTGTGTAATCGTGAAAGAGTTAAAAACAACAGCTGAAATTGTGAGGTGGGGTCTGAATAAAAATGTATGGTATGCATTTAAAAAAATATATGAGCTTTGAAATTGCTCTCATCATTTACTCAAGTAAATGGCAGACATTTTGCAAATTTTTCAATTTTGTTGAGCTGCATAGAAAATGGTACCATACAAATTAAAACAGTGGTTTTTTTTTTCTCGAAATTTGTGATTTGTGCATATTTCGAGCCATCACGTCTCCTTAAGTGGAATTTGTTGGGACAAAAATGGGACACATCATTAGATCTTCTTCCATTGATTCCAAAAACATATATGACAATAGGGTTTGATGAACATGGTGTTTTGGAGATTTCTGAATATGCCGAAAATTGGCAAATTTGACATAGCTTTATTTTATTCAGTATTGCCTTGAGGAAAAAGTATATGAAATAACTTCAAAAGTCTAACCTTTTTAACAATGGTGTTTGCTGCATTCATTTTGGTTGAAAAGTTTTCAGCTCACATGAGCATGAAGAGGTGCTCCTTTTTTTAAATTTCACAAAATTTAACTAATTATTGTGCCAAAACAGCTCCAAACCCAAAGCCAAAATTTTGCATTCTTACTTTGGGCCATGAGGGGTACCACATAAAAAATTTTCGTCAATATCAGAGGGGGGAGGGGGGTCACGCTCTGGCCTCAGGCTGATTTAAGATGGAATAACCCATTTGGGATAACAAAGGTTCTCTTGTAGCCCATGCCAAGCTGAAAGGGACAATAGTCACTGGGAAGGCTTACTTAGACATTGTTCACAACAAGTTCCTGCCACCAACTGTGAGAAAGAGACTGATATGGGCAGCCAACTCCTTCAATATGCACCATGATAATGCATCTCCTCATCACATTGAAATTGTAGGGTAGGGACTAATTCCAACTCAGCTGTAAAGTCTGCCCCCACTTTATATAAATCCATGAACAAAAAATCTAAACAGCCTTTTCCCACCAAATTACATCAATGTCTGGTCTCAAAACATGGACTGACAGGGTGTGCATTGAATTGTATATATCCCAAAACCATCAAAGTGAAGGTGAAGGGATGGATTTCAACCCTAAGGGGGTTAGAATTTGCCTCACTTACCCTACATTAATTAATGGAGGAAAGGGACATTGAACTGCTGTCTCATGCTCCTCATTCTTCAGACCTAGTCCCCAGCAATTTCTTCTGGTTCTCTTGGCTTAAGGATCAGCTTCATGGCAGAAGATAGATATTAAAGTTATTCAGCTCTGAGATCACCTATTTACCAGTGCACAGTGATGCAAGTGTAATTTTTTCTGCCAAAATTAATTTTTCCATGGGATCTGGCAGGAAGTATTTGGAATGTAATGAAAATGATGAAATATTGAAGAAAATATGTGCCTGGAACTAATTATTGGAATCCTTGAAATGTTGGCAATAAAACTGACAATGCCATTTGCAAAACAACTGACATTTTGCAGTCACATTTCTAAGACGAAATTGATCTAACTAACAAAGCATATTCTCAAATGGAATATAACTAAGAAATAACTTAGGATCTAAAAAAATTTTTTTCTTTTAGATTACAAGGGTCACATTTAATCTGACATCCCATCTTCTGACACAGGATCTTCATTCTCACTCTCAGAACCTTCATTATTTGAAATTTCTTCGTATTGTGGAATTAGCAAAATTTTCATGACTTCTGTTAGTTCTTTCTGCTTTCCTTCCCTCTTTCAAGAAAGGCTTGCAATCTTTGGATCTGAAGAGCACAAGAGCCTGTTCATGAGGTCTCTGTTGGTGTCCATGCAACTGATTTTTCTAGCAAAATCTCTCCTGTATGACTTAAAGTGCTTGCTGCGAGACTCCTGTGCCTCTTCAGACATGCTTTCAATTGGCAGCAGCAGCATGCTTTTAATGACATCTCCTCCATGAATCAAAACTTTGTGGACCGATGGAGGCATGTAATACCAGGGATAATGGTCAATGTATGCACATGCAGTTTCAAGAGCAAAGGCCTGAAATTATGGTATGTCTATCATATTTCCTGATGATATTACCACTAATAATGTGTGGCATCTCTCCAGTAAGACCAGGGGAACTCTTCAACTGCTGAAAGAATCTTCTTGTAGTATTGCCATCATTATTATTTCCAGAGCCACCTGAACGTGGTGCATCCACAATCAGTCCTCTTTGAATTCAGCTTGGGTATGCTTTTTCTCCTCAGCCAACATCAGCTTTTCACTTGATTCCCTAGCCTGCCACTTTTGGAACTTCAGTCTGTAAGCCAAATGAAGGAAATATTCCATGAAACGTATCCATGCATGGAGACGTGAAAGTCTGAAGTGCAAAGAGCTTTTATTGGTGGGCAGTTGGGCTACATAATGCAAGTAATTCATATGTCGAGATGTGGCTCCACATATGTAGCATCTCATGTTGGATCTGGTTTCTATGAGAACATTAATGACCTTGCCATTGACCATGCATAAAAGCAGTGTATGCTGACAATGAAACACAAGTCCAGATGGCATTTGCATGATAGAAGGCTCCAATGCAACGATTTGATCAGAAATATATTGCTCTTCTGCTTGTGTAGCCTCCTTACTCTCTTTGATGAATTGGAAGTGGATTGGCCTACAGAATCTTGTAGAAGAGGGTACATAATTTACCCAAACAATTTCTTTGCTCTCTTGGATTTCTATTCTGAGAGGTACAAGTGTACAAGAGGAGAGGTACAAGAGGAACAAGCTTTCTTCATCTGAATTGTTAGGGCTGTTTTTTTTTTAAAGGTTGCTAGTAGACACACTGTCCCATTGTACCATCAAAACCCCACTTACTGATCATTATACTGATCACTGGTGCTCTGGCCTGGTGCATGAAAATCATCAGCCTCTGACAATCTTCAAAAAGTATGGTCTAGGAGGTTTGCAAAGGCACTTCTCCACTCGTTTCAGTCACACTAATTCCTTCTGGGTAACAACAGCATTTTGCCTCCAGTACCTTTCTATAGGATGGGTACAGATCTTTGGCACCATGAGCCCTTGCACCATCTCAAATAGACTGATACTGTCTTTGTGAAAAGCTGCTTTGAATCACAAGATCCAGAGCCTCATCTGGGGAATAAGGTTGGACTGTTCAAGTTGATCCATAAACACATCTCATTTTAATTGCTCGAGTTGGGGTTGTTTGGGTAGCTTGCTTCACAATGTATGTTTGATCAGTCAATTTTTTCCCTTTGAGAGAATGTGGCACTAGGGCTTCCTGATCACAGCTGTCCTTGATTTTCTTGACAAGCTGAGTCTTGGACCGCTCACTGGAGTCAGAAAATGACTTTGAAGGTCTTCCTCTGTGCACTTGGAGAGGAGTGGGAAGTCTTTGCGCCCCTGAAGCACTACTACCCAAAAGATCAGTTACAGTTGCTGGGAGTTGGACTGATGTTTTTAGCCAAGCTCTATTGGAATCCAAAAATCTGGACAAGGTCTTTCTAGCTTTTCGCCAGCGTAAACCAATCTGTATCTTGAGGTTTCTCATGGTGCATAAAATATCATTTCTTGGGCCATCTGGGTATTCCTGTTGTAGTCCATACTTGTCTTAACACATTGGTGACGGGCCCCGAGAAATCTCATAGTACGCTTGCTCGCAAGCGGTTGGTGACCGGCCCCGGGGACGGTCACCAACTCTCGTAATCTCGAAATCTTGTAGTACGCTTGCGAGCGTACTACGAGATTTCTCGGGGCCCATCACCAATGTGTTAAACATACTCCACCATTGCCTCTGGCTGTAGTGGATGACTCATGGGAAAAGGGAATTTCTGCATCTACTGGAACAACTCTTCTTTGGAAATATCCATTCTGAAGAAATAAATCTGAGACAATTTTTGAGATGGAGAAGTCATTATGGCTACACTGTGAGTATGGTGGCAGGTAAGGGCTAGAGATTTGTCATGATATGCAGAGCTGATATGTTGCACTTTCCAAATGTATAATCCATTCCACCAAATTATTCCAACAATTTAGTGCATCATACTAGAAGTTTGGTATCCAGAGAATTCATAAATTAATTTAATATTAAGGTTACACACGGATAGTGCTGATGAACATTTCCTCTTTCCTTTCATTACCTGAACAGGAAGAGACTCCCTAGCTAATTTCTGGATAAAATACTCTCCAGTATTGATATGGAAACCCTAGTGATGGCTGAAAATTGTATCCCTTTTTTCGTGCTAAAGGGGAAAATGCGAGATTCCCTCAAATGAAAACCTTCAAAACTCCTTAAGAAACATAATATGTGGAAGACCATTAAGATTATAATAATTTATGATGTATGTGCAATATATATAAAATTGGATTGGTGCAATGTCCTTCCAAATTTCTGATTTAAGTTGGCAGGATTGTCCACAAAATGCATCACTGTGCAGTAGATTAAACATCTCCCCAAAGGGTTTTATTGCTGAAGCCTTTCAATTTCAAGACTGGCTGAAGAGTGAAAAGTTTAATGAAATAAGGAGATTGAGAAGTGATTTGTTGAATTGCTTGTTTCTTATATTGAAATTGAAAAAATTAATTTTGATCAAAACTTTTGAATGCATCTCACATATGTTTGCAAATAGTAAAGAACAGGGCTCTGCTGTTTTTTTAACTTAAATTATGTATTCATATTTCACCTCAAAGTTGGAATAAAAGGATCTAAAATGAGAGCTCACAGATATGCATATTTACAGACAGGTGCAATCCAATTTTGAACCGCATCCCATTCTATCTTTTTCTCAACTTTTTTCATTTGGTTTATATTTCTTCATTATATTCTATGGTCCTCTGACATAGGCAATGTCTCTGGAAAGCATGCTTTGCAACATTCATTGTTGATTCCCACAAAATATTGTTTGTTTAAAACCTGTCCGTTTCAAGTCTAAATTGGGAATGATGGAGATGAAAGAAGACATAGCATACAGGGTCAGCTTTCAGGAGACCTAATTCTGTTTCTGGATGACTTGCATCCCTCTCCTTTTTTTTGTCCTCTCCATGTATCTTGACTTTCCTGCATTTGAAGATGGCATCATCCTACATGAATCATAGGAAAAAAAGACAACCCGATATGAGTTCCCTTCGGAGTAAATTGGAATCCTTGAAATACATCGAGTATGCCTTGCAATATGATCAAGTAACACTGTGCATCCTTTGCATGTGACATGTAGTCATGGTATTGGATGGTAGTCCTATAAAATCATAGGGGCCAAAAATATACTGTAACCATTCACGTGCAAGATGTCAAGATTTCATGGGGGAATACAGGGTGGGACAAAAAATACAGACAGTTTTCAATGATACACTGTACTGCACTCACTGTATGTATTTTAGTGTTTTTCAGCATTTGAAAGAGGAATGACTAACCATTAAAATGCTGCACTTACATTTCAAATAACTTCAATACTTTCAGAAATTCGGAAGCTCATATGAACTGCTAACAAAAACTGTGTTTTTTTGTAGCAGTGAAAATGGACAGGTGGCAGCTGAAGGTCACATGCCATCTGCGTCCAAGTGCACGATCAATGTAGTTTTTGCATGTTATTCATATGAGCTTCTGAATTTCTAAAGTTGTTGAAGATATGTGAAATGTAAGTACACCATTTTATAGCTTATCCATTCCTTTTTCAAATGCCACAAACTGCATTAAAATATATATATGCTGTGAGTGAAGTATTCAATATAATGTATCATTGAAAACTGTATCCTGTCCATCCTGTAAATATCCATGCACAACCAGCATTCTACCACCCTTCTGAAAATGCTTGCATTAAATGCTGGCCATGGTTGCTGCTCCAATTTGACTGGAAGATTTGAGTGGCAGTGCACTTCTTACTGATGTAATCAATACCACCAAGTCTGGCTGATGCAGACAGGTGATTTGGTGATGTGGCATTTCTTGTTATCCCAAAAGTGGAGAAGAAATATGTCATTCTCAATTATATCAGAACCCAAGGAATTGCATAGACTGGAGTCATTTATATGTAAACACCTCAGTATTTCTATGTATTTCTTTTTTTTTCATGTTCAGTATTTTAACAATGCTATGCTCATTCAACCATTTGCATTCAACATTTTGTGGTACTCCTGAATTCCTTGCTGGTTGATATTAACTCTGACAATGTTGTGATCTTCAATATTAAAAATGAAATCATAGTTGTCTACTTGGAGGATGATGCAGACAAAAGGCAAAACTTACAGGATCAGATTCAGTTTGATGAGATTTCATCACAGGTTGACCCACTTCTCCTTGTGAAACCTGCAAAACAGAAGCAATTGATCAGGGAATATGAAACCAAGACCAGTCTCATTCAAGGACTACAATAAGTTCTAAGCACCTGCACATTTTCAGTAGAGGTTATGACTGACTCTTGCTGTGACAACATCTTTGAGGGTCTACCAGGCTCATATTGCTGTGTGATATGGGTCAAGAATTTTTCAGGGATTTTGGGAGAAGGAATGAGGAACAGAGAATAAGTGATGATATTGCATGTGGAATAAGGATTCTGGGGATACCTGGGATGAAAATTTTCGCTTCATGCTCATCTGGATTAGAAGCTCCCTGGTCTTTTCAAGTTCTTTTTTGGTGATATCATACAGTACTTTCGTCCTTCCAGCACAAATTCTCTCTTGGCTGAGTTGCTGTTCAAGGGTATCCCTTTGGTTCTGAGCATCAATCAGCTGCATATCCAACTCATGTACCTTTTTCTGAACCATTCTCTTCTTCTTGGACTCAACACTGAGATGCTGCTGCACATCTGCCACCCTTATCTCAAGTTTCTTGATGTTTTTCTCCTTCTCTAGATTCTGAAGTTCCTGCTGCAAAGTGATGAAAAGTAAATCTTTCAACTCACATCACATGAAAGAAATATGAAAAGCGATCTGTAGCAGTAAAGACTAAATCATTCCCATTGCATATTTCTTAATAAAAACATGGAGTCAACATACTCTATGTATGTTATCCCTCAACTGCAACATCCTGTGCTCGAACTGTTGCATCAAAGCTGTCTCTTTCTCCTCCAGGGCATTTCTAGCCTTCCTGTGCATGGAAGGGACATGCTTATTCATGGTATTTCATGTCAAGTTACTGTCTATTGAAAGCTGCCTGAATACTACAGTAGATGTCACTTATTGTGATATCAAAATTAGTGCCAGAGGATTTGGTAACAATAGATGGTGCCTTTACAGTATTTGAGGAAAATGGTCATCAAATGTAGTCTGGGTGCAGGTAGCAGTAATTTAGGCTCCAATTTTGTTCTCTAGGCTGTTGAAATATTTTTATATAAATCAAGGGCATTTCCAGCTCTCTAGTAAAAGCCCAGAAAAATAGCCGCCCTCAATCAAAGGGAGAGGTTCCATGCCCTCTTCTTCCCTCCATGAGAATTTCTAGCTGCTGAGATGGAGAGGTTGAACAAAGAGGGGGAAACAGGAGTCCCAATTTTTGGGATCCTGTTTCCCTCCTGCTCCTTCCCATGGGAGAGAGCAAGATGGGAGTGCAACTTTTCTGGGGTAGTGCAATTGGGAGCAACTGCGAGAGCAAAAAATGAAAAAGGAGTGACACCTGTTTGGAAGCACCAGGAATGGGACATAGTTCAGAGGCAGGACCAAAAATCAAGACAAAAGGTGGGAGTTTGAAGTGATGGAAATATAAATATTTTGGAGTGGGAATTTCAATTTCTCTATTTTTTCCTTTCCAGTTGGATTGTTGTTTATCACACTATCCAGCAATAACATTAACAGGAGAAAAATATGCATGAAATATGGGCTTTGGTGTTGGCTTTTGAGATCTGATCACATAATCCAGCTGATAACAATAAGTGGCATCTACTGTACTGTGCTGTACTGTGGATATGAAATACATATTTTCCTTGTAGAAACAAATCAGAAAATCTGTAAAATAAAATGTGATATGGGCTCACATAAGGTTATCAGCCAAAATCTCCTTCTCCTTCAAGTTTCCTGTGAGTTTTCTGTGAACCTCCTCAATTTCCTGCAGTCCCATGGAAATCTGCTCTCGTAACTGCTGTTTCTCCTCCTCTGTCACTGCTAGGGATTCCTCTTTCACTTGCAATGCATTCCGTGTGTGTTCCCATTCCAATAATGCCTTTGGATGTCATAAGCTTCATTAATTAAAAAACCTACTAGCAAACTGAAACAGAAATCACAGTCCCAACAAGAAATGATAGTCATACCTGTTCATGGTGCTTTACCAACTCCTTGTGAGTTCCAGTCAATGACTCTTTCTCTAAAAGCAGTTGATCGAGAAGGCTTTCCATCTCAGCTTTCTTCATCAAGGTTGAATCATGATTCCTCTTCTCTACTTCAACTGTACCAAAAACAAATCAGTAGTGTGGAGAATTTCTCCAGTCTAAGGTACTAAGTGAGTGCAAATTGGTTTATTGATACCAAATGCCTTTTGTTTTTCAATTTCCAGCATGCAGATCACCAGTTTTGTTTTTCTGCTCTAATTTTTCAGCAATGGACAGTTAAATTTTCCCAAGCATGTTAAACACATACATTTGGCCATGGGTATGCTTCGAAACTGATCACCAATCAATTTTGACAATTGATAATCAGTTTTAGTCAACATGCGTTACTTACAAAGAAAAAATAACCTAATTGCCTGGTCAAAGAGTTTGTGTCCACCATATTGCAAAAAGCATATGATATGCTTCTTCAGCTAGCAATGACACATTGGAGATCTTTATTCAAGATTATCCCTCTGACTCCAACGAAGGGGAGGACACGATGTGCCTGCAAACTGTGGCAAATTTGTTGGCTAAATGTTTGTCCATATCCTCTGAAACTTCTTTGAGTTCATGACTAACATTGATAATATTGAAGGCGTTTATGGTGCAAGGTTCAGGTAGGGACGTAAAGAGGCATTTCTGCCCTTTAGGACATCCTGTCAAGGTCGAGCGTTCATATATAATAAATGGACTTACCCACTTAAAGATAGATATTTTTGAGGGATTATATGCACCTAATGCCAAGTCACTTACATCTACTGGTACATTGCTCCCTTTTTTTATTCGTTCATGAAGGCATCCAACCTCCTTCTAAAGCTAGTCACGAAAGGGGCAACTACTGCATCGTCACTTGACGCACTCTACGCGTTCTCTACCCTACAAGTAAAGAAGTCCTGTCGCAACCTGCGCCTCACCAGTGGTTTACGCAACCTATGTTGGTTGCCTCTTGTTCTGTTGCTGCCATCAAACTGGAAAAACCTACCACGCTCTACGTTATCGATTCCTTTCATAATCTTAAATACCTGAATGAGGTCGCCCCTCGTTAACGAGTGAGTAAAGTCCTAATATTTATAAAGTCTCTGAAATGTTTGTCCCATTACCTCCTTGATCATTCTCTTAGCCCGCCTCTGGACCCTCTCGAGCGCCGTTAAATCACCTTTATTTGTAGACCTCCAAAACTGAACGCAATACTCCAATGCCACATTTGCTACTGTCGCTTGCGCGTACGAAAACTTGAGTTCCTCATCGATAGTATCCCTAAATCACTCCGTCTGCCTCCTACAATTTATGTACGCTGAACTCATTCAAAGATCTATCCTTATTATGACCGATGTGGAAAGCCCTACACTTACTTTTATTAAACCTCATGAACCATTTCTTACTCCGCTAGTCCAAAGCTGTGAATCCTGCTTGGCTCTCGCCTTGTCCCCCCCCCCCCCCCCCCTGATAGAGGAACCTAAATTGATGTCATCGGCAAATTTTCCTTATTTTACTCGTTGGGCATTGGATCTAAATCGTTAATGTAGACTACAAAAAGAAGCGGTCTCAGGACCAAGCCCTAAGGGGCACAGCTTGCGACCCCGACTTCCGTCGACACTCCTTTTACCATTACTTGCTGCTCTCTTCCCGATAACCAGTTACTAACCCAGTTACTCGTCCTACCCAGGATCCTGTGCGCCTCCAATTAAGCCCGAAACCTCTTGTGAGGTACGGTATCGAAAGCTTTCGCGAAATCCAAGTACCTCCTAAAGCCGTGCTGAGTCCCAGATGAGCGCGTTTCCCTCGAATCTAAATCTAAGATGTGATCCTTTAGGATGCTCTTCGTGATATTCACTGGAATACTCGCGAGACTTACTGGCCTGTAATTTCCCGGATTGCACTTTTCTCTCTCTTTAATGATCGGTAGGACATTCGCTAGTTTCCAATCCTGAGGCCCTTCTTGACGAGAAAAACTACTCTCAAATATTATTCTTAACGGTACCGATACTTCCCTCGCGAGTTCCTTGATGACACGAGCCGAAATCTCAAAGGAGCCGATTGCCTTTCCTGCCTTCAACTTCCCTATCCTTTTCATGATCTCTTCCTCGGTGATGGCAATAGCATCTATGAGCACAGAGGTGACCTCCGCCAATGCTGGTGTGTCGTCAGATACGCTCATAAAAACAGAAGCAAAGAACTCGTTCAGTATCCCAGCCATGCCTCCATTACTTGTAATTAGCTCCCCTTGTCGTTCTTTAGGAGTCCGATCGAATGTTGGTTTCCTGCCGTTGATGTATATGTAAAAGCCTTGGAATTATTCTTAGCAGTGATACCTAGCCGTTCCCCGACCTCCCGTCTCGCTGACCTAATTTCCCGCTTTAATACTCTCGTAACGGTCCGATATTCCTCGTAGTCCGCTTGGTCATCCCCATTCACCTATACAAATCCCATTTCCGCTTCTCTCTGATCAGCGCCTTAATTTTATTCGTAAACGAGACCGGCTGTCTGAGTCTCTGACATCTTAGGGAGACACCATGAAGCCCTGGAGTACCGTCTTGAAACCCCCCACTGCTCCTCTACCGTCAGCTCACGTAACCATCCCTCCCAATCGATGCCCAAAACGCATTCAAGTAACCTATCGAAATTCGCTTTCCTATTGTCATACGGATCCTTCGCTGGCTTGTCGTTGTTTTTCGTCCGTTTGATATCCCACGTTGATCACGCTATGATCCGAATCCCCCAAGTTACCTTCAACTTTAACATCGCGCGCCAGATCGTCATCTGTAGCAAAAACTCGAGTGGCACTTCGAGTCGCTTCTTCAACATGCTGTACGAAGTGAGCATCCCGGAATCGCTATCATAAATTCCTTCTCCCCCACGCTCTCCCTTCGCGGCACCGTCCAATCTATGTTAGGCATGATAAAATCTCCAGAGAGCGATTCCTTTCGAGACTTCTCACTGATACTACTCACCAGTGCGTAAAAAGCGGCGTCATCCTCACGGGGAGACGCTTTAGAGAGCAGCGGTTCCCAATCTTGGGGTCGCGAAGCCACCTGGCCGGGCGACTGTTATCGTGATATTTGTATTCGTTATAAAGTCATATTTTCGAAAGGCGAATGCTGGTCTCGTCTGAGCATGATGTTGGTCTGAATGGGGTCACACTGAGGAAAAGGTTTGGAACCGCTGCTTTAGAGCCTCCCGGGTGTCCAGAAACGCCACCCCCTCTGCGATGCATAACTCCATCAACCTGTCATTCAACTCTTATCTAATCGACTTGGGATCGGGCACAGTCACTTTTACACCCGACCTAGCCTCACAACACATCCTAATCACCCGCTTGAGCTTGGCCATGATGAAAACTTGGCGGTATCGTTGATCCCAATAATGAAGAGTCACCGAGCCTGGTGGTGTCCTCGGCTGATACCGAGGACACAACAGACTCTATCTTGTCCCTAACATACTCAATCCCTTCATCAGGGAACGGGATGAATGTAGTTCCCGACTCAAGATGCTAGAAGCTGGAGTCACCGAAATTTCCTCGCCCCTTCACGGCCTGATCGCGTCCTCTCGATCCCCCATCTGCCATCGCCCCACCCTCCGATTCCTCATCCAGTGTAACCTCTCTCAACCACTGAAGCATGTTTTCGGATTTGACCGTCTCATGGGATTGCCTAGTTCGCCCCCTTCACGACCTGAGCCCAATCACTAGACACACGGGAGCCGGCGCTTGTTTCGCTGTTAAAGGTTGAGCGGGTTCCAGAAAAACCTAGAAGGCTGGGGAAACTCCGCAGTGCCTTCGCCAATCTAACGCGGCTCGCCGCTTCCCTCTGTATCTCGCACACCTCCTGCCTGATTCCCCTTATCTCCTCAGCGATGATGAGTCTCGCCAATAGCTCCCTTAGCCGCTCCTCCAAGACGCAAATGCAAATGACAGACCTCTCTCTCATTTGTCCCGTCAACCCAACCTCGGCATCGAACGCATCTTTTCATCCTAGACATCTTGCTTTATTTTATCCAGCACTTTCGACGACTGCTGATTCAGTTTTATATTTCTGAGACTCAGTGTTGGGCGGTAATGAAGTAAAAGTAACGTAAAAGTTACAGTAACTAATTACTTTTTTCAGTAACTTTTTGGTAACGAATTACTTTTCAGGGGAGGGTAACGGAACTGGTAACTAGTTCCTTTTTCATAGGGAAAGTACGTGGCGTTACTTCAACGCGTTCCTTTTCTTGATGATTAACTAATTTTGCTGAAAACAAACAGAACTTTATGGCGACATACATCCTAATTGATGCAATATTGGGAGGAAAGACGGGGACATGAAATTACCTTGAGAAAACATGGTTTATTCAGTGCAGGTTTCTCGTCCGTACCTGCAAAAATATTTCCGAGGTGCAGGAGGTCAGGAACGAATTCGAGAATTGCATCGATGCAGTGGCGTATGTTACGGAGGGCAGAGAGGGCAGAGTCTCTGGGACAGAGCCTGGCTCCACCTTAGAGGTAATACTTTTCCATGCCATAAAAATACCATTACCTTGTAAAAGAGAGTGAAAATTCATTTTCAATCACTTTACTTGGTATAGGTTGGATTCATGCAGTCCATGTCTGGTTAAAGGGAAACGAGAGAATATGACTTCGGTTTTTTCTATTTTTCTATCTGGAACTCATGATAGGGGGCAGGCTGGGGTAGGTCTCCCCATCACCACTAGCAAAATTTGCATTTTTTAAAACTAAAGGGTGCATTCTGTTTATCAGCGTATCATTCCTACTTCTGTCAAAGAAGTGAAGAAGCTGTAGAAAGATCAGAATTTTTGTTCAGGAAAAGTAACTTGAAAAGTAACTTCTACCTGTTCTACTTGTAACTAGTTACTTTTGGTGAGAAGTAATTCTACTTGTAACTAATTACTTTTTGGATGGAATACTTGTAATTGTAACTAGTTACTTTTCACAAGTAACGCGCCCAACATTGCTAATACTTAGTGCTAACTTTGATCCAGTTACACCTGGAAATCTCACCGCCTCCGATAACCGTTCTATTGAAAACTAAATGAAACTACCCAAGTCTGAAGTATACCGAAAACAAAGAAAACCGCACCAAGAACGAAAATCAATGGAGCTATTAACCAATGATCTAAAGTGAAGTTACCTTTGAGGTAGGTATCAGAAAGCTGACGATAATGCTACAAGGTAGCTAAACTACCACTAACTCACGACTTTGCTGTCAGAACCCCGAGAGTAGCTCCAACACGTCCTCATGCTACGAACGCTCAACCAAGACTTGTTGCCTAAACAGTGAAAGCTGCTGCTTCATTGCTGCTTTCCAAAGAGAGAAAGCCTGTTCTAATGGCACCAGGAAGGGAACATAGGGCAGCAGTTCCCTTATTTCACGATGTTCACAAGGCCTTGTCACGCACGACGACTTGAATTCAGCATTAGGCAATAAAAAAATCAAAAGGCTCTTCTCCA